GAGAAACATATTAAACCAAATTAAGAAGATAAATTATGTTAAGCCTGTAAGAAATGTCTGATAAAGAAACATAAATCAAAAAGACTGGGGAAAAAAATAACAGAATTCATAAATCATAATACAGTGTAAGCCTATGTAATGCCGTTTAAAACAAAAGATTGTTTCTCTTTTGCTCGATGCAGGTTAATCAGACATGCACACAGGTAACCTAGTAACCCGTTATCCCCGCGCATGCACATATTGTTCAGACGCGGCAAGTAGATGAATAAATGACGATAAATGCGATTAAAACGCATATATATGCATACTTCCAAAATGTGAATAGCAAGATCAAATGTTGTTCTTGTAACTCGCCCCAGCTCAGGCAGGGTTGAGCTAATTGTAGCCTAATCCTGCCCCGGGGCGTTTGGAGAGCCTTGAGCAAGAATTCTTGTTCAGCTGTCCTCTGTTATTCGGGCTGGAACGCAGTGCCTTCAACGCACTCTCACGCTTCAACAAAAAAGGAGCAATAAAGAAAAAAAGCGAGGCTAAGACACGCCACGATCGATCTCATGTTTTAAATTGGGCTGAAGATACATTTACAGCTGTGTCTTCCAAGGTAAGGACGCAGCCTCGACTGACTCCCCTTTGTAGCTTTTGTGGAAAGTGTCTATAGCAGTCTATGGTCTGTGTTTTAAGCGAGCTTTTAAAGTCACAGCGACCTATATAGCGCTGCGTTTGCACCGGCGTTAGATTTGGCTGGATTCTGAAGGGAATTGTGGCCGGATTCTGTACGAAGAGCTCTTGGAGTGCCGAGAAAATATTACGAAAAAGTTCTTTCTAAAGGACGAGCAACCTTCATCAGAGACAGTCTGCTAGAATCCTCCTCAGATTGCGTCGGACATCCTAAAATGTTTGAAACGGTACGGTGGATTCTGTCAAATTCTCGAATGTTTCTCTAGCGCATCTTTGCATTCGTTCTCGGTGTGTGTCGTGCTTTTGCAGTTTTAGATCAGGGAGGGCTGATTTGAGTATACAACGAGAGGTCAGAGCGCTACTGTATGCCCATTGCGTACAGGAAGTGCGGTACAGAGTTGTAGGGCTATTTTACGCACTCCAGGGACCTGGCGCAGTTTTAGACATCACAAACTATTATTTCTGACTTTGATGTTTGATGTACTCTTTGATTATATCTCATTTTGCACTCACACTCTAAACCTCTGCCGCTTCCGACCTAGTACAACTAATATATATATATATATATATATAACAGAGGACAATTTCGAGACGGACATCACTCAAACTAATGATAACGTGCACTTACTAACTGAGTGAGATGTTGATTCAAACCGCTTTGACGGATTCAGTGTTCATTCATTGAAAGATTCGTCAGGCTGATTTTAAGTTATGAGTCTTTTTGAGTGATTCATGAAAAGAACCGGCTCATAAGAGTCACTTGTTCGTTATGTGACTATGGGCTACTAGTATAATTGTACGTTTGCTTTTCGGATTTTACAAGAAATATATGATTTCTTGTCATTATTTCTCGGAACTCGGTATTTTAATGTCATCAAACGCGATTCAGACGAATGAACACTCACAACTCCGGTAAAATATTATTTATTTAGCCGTGGCGCTGTAGATTCACTGTTTGATTTTTTTAATATTGTGAAAAGTGGGGCAGTTCTACCCAGGCCCAACATCCTATGTGTATATATATACTCCTCATAATATTTCAGTTTTTTTGTCTTTTACAACATATTTTAAAACTTTACTATAGCCAAACCAGTGACCAGTTAAATTTGTGAGATTTGATTTTAAATCTAATGGCTAGACATAAGATACATCATCTTATACAGGAGTAGCCTAAGTCTCTGATGTACACCATGGGCACACATTGCTTCAGGCATTGTGCCTCTGGAAATGGGACTTTAACCATCTGTTTAGGCGGAATTGTTCGTTACTCCAAAGTCCAAACAAGTCGATTCATGCCACAATAGCAGTCAAGCATCATAGTCCCTATGGTTTTAATGTAAAGAGCTGTGATTACTAAGGAGAGGACAATGAGATCAAATATTTTAATGAAGCATCATTTAGAACCTTTACCACGAATTGAAACTTTATTATGATGCAGCATCATTTAGATTTGTATATTTGACCTTGAGGGAGTAAAAGTCTTATTTACTCTCATTTTTGGCTTCAATTCAAAATGTTGATTCATTTGCTCTCAGAAACTTTTAAAGAACTGAAAAGCTGTTGGTGAAGAGGTGTTTTGCGTCTCACACATTCACCCAATATCTTTAATTAGGAGTCTACACTTTTTCCCTCTCTTTCCCTGGAGGTAGACACCTACAGTACTAGGATCCATCCCCCTCTCTCTCGCTGTCCTTCTCTCCCTCTCTCCCTTTCGTGCTGGCTAATAAGCATCACTCCATTTCTCCCCTCCGGTTCTATGAAAAAAGGAGGGGAAAAAAACGGCAGGCAAATTTTCTTAATTAGACTTGTGGTGCTAATTCTTAAGGTAAAAACGCAATTTAAGGGAAGATGTAAAAGTGATCTCCTGCGTGCTTGCAGGCCAGAATCGCACCTTAGATCTCGGAGACTGAAGGGGAGAGGGGAACCAGGAGCTGTTTATTTGATACTGTGCTGTTTGTGCAGGAGGGAAGGAGCATGTCTCGGCTGTCTTTAACCCGGTCCCCAGTGTCTCCTCTGGCCGCTCAGGGCATCCCACTGCCGGCTCAGCTGACTAAAGCAAACGCTCCAGTCCACATTGACGTAGGCGGGCACATGTACACCAGCAGTCTGGCCACCCTCACCAAATACCCAGACTCCAGGTAAGACCAGTTGTGATTTGACGCTGACCGTTTTTGGGGTTTACTATGACTTATGTTGCCGTAAAACTATGTGTCATAGTCGTGTTGAGCTGTCGTGAGAAGTTCATCATTTTCATCATTTTTGCCTTTGTAACAGTTATGTAAGTGCATATTTAAGTGTTAAACTAAGGAATTTACATATAAATAGGGCGATACATTCAAATGCTCTACTTTTAAATGACTTAAAGCTCAGTTTTTTTGTGATCAAAAGCCACTTGTAGAGTCATGCAATTCCTACCTGCTGCATCCATCCCAACCGTAATCTACGGAGGTTAGAGACGTACATGTGTGTGTGTGTGTGTATGTGCAAGATGGGAAAAAAGTGTGAGAGCTTTGCCACAGCTGTTCAGGTTAACAGAGAGCGTGGTTCGCTCTGATTTATTAATGGATATGGAGCGAGAGAGCAACGGGAAGGAGGGAGGAGAGGAAAATGGGGGGAGGGTGAAAAGCAGGCAGCATTTTAATTGCTTTTTGGAGGGAAAAAAAAGAGAGGCTGAGATGAAAAACTAAGATTGCCTAAAGCTATATGGTGAAATTCTAACTGGGGGAACGGCAAGACCATATGAGAAAAGGACCACCCGAGGCACAAAAGGAGGAATTGGTTTTCTTATTAAGTGTTTTGCATCGGTTTCCAGAATGAGAGAGCGAAAGAAAGAATGGAAGAATGAAATAGGATGAGAGAATGAAATAAGAACATTTTGCAAAGATCAAGTCGATTTATCCAAAGAACAGAAATAGCATACGACATAATTCCAAATGCCTGACCCCATTTCAGCAATTAAATCAGGTTAAATAATCAACTTATACGTTTGCCGTTAAACTTATTTCAAATGTAAAATGTGAAGAGAAAGCAGTTTTTAGAGAATATCTTTTACAATGTGACATGATATGAGCAAAATCATTCTTAATGTAGTGTAGTGCTTGCATAGAACTTTTAAAACAAAATGCTTTTTTAAAATGAAAAATCATTGATTTACATTTTTTCCCTCCAGAATCAGTCGCCTGTTCAACGGCACAGAACCGATTGTTTTGGACAGTCTGAAGCAGCATTATTTTATCGACAGAGATGGAGAGATATTCCGCTATATCCTGAGCTACCTGAGAACCATCAAACTGCTTCTTCCTGACGACTTCAAGGTAACGTGCACATACCCAGTGTCTCTTCAGCAGGTCAGAACTTTCATTTAGTTCCTCTTTTAGCATCACGCCAATAGCCTTACGCTATTAAAGGACCCAGACAGAACCTCACAGCAGGTTTATTCAATTTCCATGTGTTTGGAATTATCCTAAGCTTCATGTCTCAAATATCCCTGGATGCTTGTTGAATACTTCGATTATCATTTTCCAAGGTTTCAAACAACTTAACCTGTTTGCTGGCAAAGACATCTTGGCAATTCTTTGCATATTGATACAAAACTTTCCACATTGGCCAAGCACATATATAGCAAAATAAAATAAAATAACAAATAATAACCTAAAAAAAAAAAAAAACTGAATAAAACAGAACCATAAGAGTGGGAAAACTCAATGACTACATGAGCTGGTCACTTGGGTTTGAGGCCTATAAACTTTCACACTTATTACCCTTTCTTTTTCATCCAGAGCCTAAGATGCTGTAAAGAACCACTGGATATTTTCAGATGAAGCTGTACATAAGCGAATGATGCATGTTGTCAGATGGAGCAGCACCTCCTGTGAGAGGTGATGGGATACATTTGATCTCCTCCCAGATGTCTGTTACGTTTGTGAATTCATTAGACTCAACTTATTGACCTAATTGACAACATTTTTGTTCTTCTAGAAGAGTTTGCACTTGAAAACAGTGTAGCGCATCTAGCTTAATTTGTCCATATGGATATGGCCTAAAGACTAAATTCGCTCTTCTGTGGGCTGTTGCTTTTACATTCTCTTTCCCAACAGTGAGTCACAGAAGAAGCCCTGTTAAAACATACCCAGCATTCGCTGCAGACCTGGGAAAGAAGCGCAGCTTGTTTTTCTTTGAATTAGCAAGAGCCCGAAGGCCTAAAGTCTCTGTATCCATGTTGTCAGCACCAGTATGGGCTAAAGAAAGGAACATAGGGAATAAAGAGAGAGAGAAAGAAGAGAGGCTGAGGGAGGGGTGTGGGTAAGAAAACAACTCCTTTTCTTGTGGTAATTGTAAAAGAGCGTTGTGTCTGAGATGGTCGGTGCTATTGTTCTCTGTGGCGTAGCCTGCAGTGGAATGAGTAGTCTTACAGGGTGGGGATGAAGAGCCGGCAGGGTCGAGATCACAGCTATCTCTCACGGCCACGAGGAAATAGGCCATCAGGCGCAGAACCAAAGAATGCTGTCAGGGTTTAGAGCAGAAATGGCTTTCAGGCCTCATGTTTGGGGTCTGAGAGACCCCAAGGCCCTTTTAATATCTCGCAAAACATTAACATTGAAGTATCAGGTTAATGCTTCATGACGTTTCCTAATCTAATGGGAACTGGCAAATTTTGAGCTTGATAACATCCATCAAACTTCCTGCATGACAAAATTTACCTCTATTTGGACTCTCAAGAGCCCAGGTATATTTCAAATAATTTGAAAAATTTTCAGAAAATCTTTTTCCCCAGAAAAGTGTTTTGCTTTAATAATATCAAACCTTAATATCAATATATATATATATAGAGAGAGAGAGAGAGAGAGAGAGTTTATGTATTATTTATATATATAATCTTCACCTTTTTCATCCCCTCCCTATTCATTTTATTAAATAATATATGATATATTATGTATGTTTGGTTTGGTCATATTTAATAGTTGTTTGCTCACTTAGTGGTTTGTTTGTTTGCCCATTCATTCATCCATTTGGTGGTTTGTTTGCTCATTCGTTCGCTCACTTGGTTGTTTGTTTGTGTCCTTGTTCGTTCATTCGCTCAGTGGGTTGTTTTTCAGTCATTTGTTTGTTTGTGCATTTTTGGTCTGCTTGTTCATTCATTCACTCAATAGCTGGTTAATTTTCCCAGTTTGTTCATTCATTAATTTGTCTGTACATTTGTTTGTTTTCTTATTTGTTCATTTGCTCAGTGGGTTGTTGATTTATTTGTTCATTCATTCATGCATTTGTGCATTTTTTTTGTCTGCTTGTTCATTCATATACTCCATGGTTGGGTCTGTTTGTCTGCTCATTCAATCATTTGCTGGATGGGTTGTTTGTTTCTTTCTTTCCGTGCATACATTCACATCCATGTGTTGTTCCTGCAGGAGTTCCAGCTGCTGTACGAGGAGGCTCGGTATTACCAGCTGACGCCCATGGTGAAAGAGCTGGAGCGCTGGAAACAGGACCGGGAGCAGCGGCGGGCGGCTCAGCCTTGTGAGTGCCTGGTGGTGCGGGTGACCCCTGACCTGGGCGAGAGGATTGCCATCAGTGGGGACAAGGCCCTCATAGAGGAGATTTTCCCAGAGACAGGGGATGTAATGTGCAATTCAGTCAATGCCGGCTGGAACCAGGACCCAACCCACGTTATTCGCTTTCCACTAAATGGCTATTGCAGGCTCAACTCTGTGCAGGTACAACAGTCATCGAGTAATACTGAAACAACACTGGATGGTCATCATCACTGACTAATACACTACCGTTTAAAAGTTGGGGGTCAGAAAGATTTTTTAAATATTTTTGAAAGAAGTCTTTTATGCTCATCATGGCTGCATTTATTTGACCAAAAATACAGTAAATATTATTACAATTTGAAATAATTGTTTTCTATTTGATTATATTTTTAAATGTAACTTATTCCTGTGATGGCAAAGCTGAATTTTCAGCAGTTATTATTCCAGTATTTAATGTCACATGATCCTTCAGAAATCATTTTAATATGCTGATTTGCTGCTCAAAAAAACATTTCTTATTATCATCAATGTTGAAAACAGTTGTGCCGCTTCATATTTTTGTGGAAACTGATAGATTTTTTCCAGGAAGCTTTGATAAGTAGAAAGTTTAAAAGAACAGCATTTATTTGAAATATAAATATTTTGTAATAAAATAAATGTCTTTACTGTCACTCATAATTTAATGGATCCTGGCTGAATAAATATATCAGTTCTTTCAAAAAAAAAAAAAAAAATTCTTAATGACCCCAAACTTTTAAACCATAGTACATACTTGGGCGAATCCAGAGAAAACTACAAAATTACAATTATAAGAATGTAATGTTGCAATAAAGCGTATAAGTAAAATATCCAGACACATTATGGTAATGAAGATTTGGGAGGAAAATGTAATTAATTGTCATGAAAATAATGTCACAATGAAAAAATATCTAAATGAAAATATTTTTTCATATATATATATTTGTTATTGTTTTTGGAGTAAATTGTGAGCTGGGCATGTTTTTTTCTTGAGATTCACCTATTTGTGTGTAGTTTTCATCACATTTGACAAGGGTAGTCCAGGCACAATGAACCACAATGCTCAAGTTGGAAATGGAAATGCTGGTTTGAACCTGGACTGCAACATCTAAATCCCAAAAAATGGTCAAAAAGCTCTAAATTAAAATTAATAATTACATTTAAATATTGAAATTACATCATTTTAAATTACTTAAGACTGTCAATCACTTTTGCCATATCAATGAGCCTATTATAAAGCATTTGCTCAAGTTTACAATTTTGACTTGGACTTTGGCTGTGCTGATGTGCCTCGGAGGGAGCTCGACTGCTGCCTGCCAACCAGAAGAGATGTGAGAGGGTGCGAGATGTAGTAGGCAGGTGTGGATGAAGGTGTGGCTTCACATCTGCAGAGGTGCAGTTATTCCCCATGTCATCTTCTCACATACTTCACGATTTGGCTGTTTGAAAGGTGCTAAAATAGACACACATCCTGGCGTACACACAGACACATCCACATACATATGTTTTATAATGTCCGGTACCTTGAATCCTGGAGGCGATGCTAATGTGGGGAATATGTAGTCATGAAACCGAGAAGAGAAGAGAGGGAAATGATATGCATAATTTATTTTTAACTCGTCCTTAAGACAAATCTCTCTGTTTGAAAAAGTGCTCCAACATTTCTGTGCCTGAAGCATTTTAAACACACATGCTACATTTTTAATACTGTACTTTGGTTTCTTTGAACAACCTAAACTGGTTTACGCTACTTTTTTTACACACGCCTAATAGACTTACTGTATAACTAATTAGTGTGTGTCTGATAACACTTATTTTTTCTCCACTTTTGCGCACTTAACTGACTGAATCATGCGGGTGGATTTTTTGAATGTTGAATGTCTTTGTCACACATCTCGGGTGTTCACGAAAACCCACCTATGAAATATGAGAAGATAGATCAGAGAGGACTGACAAGAGGATGAGAGATATGGAAAAAGACAGAGTGAGGGAGCCAGTTTGTTGCCAAGAAATTGTAGCCGTTTACTGTAAGAAAGTTAGTAAGTGATGCAACCATCAGCGCAGTGAGTGTAATGTCAAAATCATAAGCCTTCAGATATCAATGCCTGAATACTTGAGAGGCTTGTGGCACTACAATAT